CTCAGTGGTTAAGCATTGATCTATAAACTAGGAGGTCAAAGTTCAATTCCAGGTTAGGGCATATGCCCAAGCTTCCAGCTCAATCCCCAAGAGGTGGAGTGCAGGAGGCAGCCGATCTATGATTCTCTCTCATCATTGATGTTTCTATTTCTCTACTTCTCCCTTACTGTCTGAAATCAATAAAAATTTAAAAAAAAAAAAAAAAAAGGAAACAAATGAAAGAGGTGAGGGTTTGGTAAAAAAAATCCCACTCATGGAATTCATAAACAACCCCAAGAGGTAGGTGTGATCACTCCTATTCATGGATCACAAATTGAGAATCACAGAAGTAGAGTCACTAATCCAAGGTCCTACAGGTGAGAAATAGCTCAGTTGAGAGAAATAAAATGAGCTTTCCTATCAATTTTCATTCATTCATTCAACAGATATTTTACATGTCTCCAGCTTTGTTCTGGATGCTGGGTGTGTTGTGGTCTCTGCATGCGGAGTGTTTGTATTCTAGGTGAGCGCTGGAGTGAGATAAATTGAATAAGGGATGAAGAAAACCACCAGGAAGTATAAACCAGAGAATTAGAATGAAGTCAGAGAGACAGGGAGTAAGTAAGGGTGATGGTGGTTTGGGGGAGGGGAGAGGCGATGCTTCCAGTTGGGAGCACAAGGACGTGTTCCTGAGGGAGTAACTGTCAGCTGGACTCTCTTGCAAAGAGCTCTGTGAAGTACCTTCCCCCAGAGGCTGCAAGGTGGGCAAGGCTTGACCAGGAACCGAAGGCAGAGAGTGAACAGGGAGGAATTCCTCCGCCTGCCTTCTCAGCTTCAAGTTTTCACAAACTGTTTTAAAATCTCTTCTTTATTTTAAGTGAAAGAAATAAAACAAACCAAGAAATCCAGAGCGTCCCAAGCTAGAGAGAGCCAGTTAGTCCCTGACTCTGAGTTGTCCAGACTGCCCCAGGGTCAGGCTAGTTCTTGGCGGACCTCAGTGGTGAGAGAGGATGCAGGGACCCCAAGTGAAAATGTTCTCCTTGACCCTCCAGGGACACTGAAATGTGGGGGAAGGGATAGGACCCCTGCCGCAACAGCACATGGCAGTGAGGGGAGGATGTGTGGGGAGTGAGATCCAGCTGGAAAAACAGGCAGAGGCGTGGAGAGGTATCAGCCTGGGCCGGGCCCCCTCACCCCAGAGGTGAGACCCTGAATCCGGGCGACCTGTGCATTGGGTTAGCCAATGGTGGGAAGGGACTCTGTGTGGGAGAAAGTGCCCCAAATGTGAGGGCTCTGAGTGAGCATTATTGTTATTGTCAGTAAGATTATTACTCACTAGCCCTTTACCCAGGTTTCCAGCCTCACCACACCCAACCTCACCTCCTGGTCCCTGGGCGTGACTATTCTCCCCTTAAAGGGGCACCCAGGGCTGAGTCACCAATTGTCCTAGTAAAGAGTGTGGGAGGTAGGCTGGTGAGGCAGGGCTCTGGAGCCAGAGAGACCTGGGTTCAAGTCCCAGCCCTGCCACTTATCAGCAAGTGACTCATCCTAAAGTTTCAGTTTCTACAGCTGGAAAGTGCAGGTGCCCCAAGGGAGTGGAGAGGAGCCGGTAAGTGGGTAGCACAGGTGTTCAGTGTTCCTTCTGCCCCTCCCACGGGTGCCCCTTTGCAGAAACTGACCTCAGAGGAACAGGAAGCTCAATGAATGCATCATTCTGTCTGTCTCCTATATCCAGGGGGCCATGAGAGAGAGGGACAGAGGTGTCTGTGAGTCTTCTCCAATCCCAGTGATGGGAACCCGGCCCAGAAGGAGAGCTCACAGGTGGGAAGAGCTTGCCTTACTCCAGGCACTCAGTTCTGGTTGCCCGAAGACCCCATCTCTCCTCTTGGTTCCATGTCTTTATCAAGCTGGGATTCATTCATTCATTCATTCATTCATTCAACAAATATCTACTTTGTGACCACCAGGCCCTTCTCTAGGTTTTTAGCTAGCTCACAGAGGGAAGCCATTACTGAAACAGTCCTGCTCTGACCCAGCTCTAGGATAGCCCACCCAACACCAATCCTATCAATAATCTCAGCTGCCCCCCTCTTAGCAGCTACGCATCCCTTAGAGACATTGACCCTGCCCTGTCTGAGAGGTAAATAAATCCCGAGGAATCCAAATCAACTGGGGTAATCACTGGGGCCACGTGGTTTCAGGTGGCTGGTCCTGAGTGGGAGGGCTGCTGGGTGGTGGTGGTAGAGCTAATTAAAAAGAGACACAGAAGAGACAACATCTTCTCTGCTGGATGTTGACATGTCCTGGCTCGAGGTCTGGATCACAGCTGTCACCTTGGAGCCAGGAAGCCAATCTAACCAACACAGAGAGGGTGGCCAGCCGGGAGCCGGAGAGAAACCAGGTGCAGATAACATCATCAAGCCACTAAAGAGCCACCTTCCTCCTGGACGTACTGTCATGTGAGCTCATAAATGCCCTCATTGTTGAAGCCCATTGAGTCACTGTTTTCTGCTGGAAGCTTCCTGATTAGTATAAACAGGGTGGGGTACAAGGGGGCAGAGTGGGAAGGGGCTGGGTGGCATCCTGACTCTGCCTTTTGCTGGTTGTGGGAGCTCCGGCAGTTCCTGTCCCCATCCTGAGCATCAGGTTGTTCAATTTTAAAAGAGGAATAAATGCCCATTCCTGCCAACATTGACATTGTCAAAGCCACAGAGCCCGGAATATGGGAGCTCTGATGGACCGTGGAATCGCCAGCTCTAGACCTTGGACAAAGTGGACATCATGCATGAGGATCTAGTGAACAGCTGCACAGTCATACAGAGGAAGAAAGGAGTTGGGTGGAAAGAGGGGAACATTGATGAACTATTCTCCTCCTGATTTGCTAGTAGCTTGGGGGAAGGGTGGGACTGCAGATGTGGTTATACCCGGTAGCCACAGCAACAGCAACAATGCAGCTAACATTTAAAGAGGAGTTACCAAAAAATAAAAAATAAATTAAAAAATAAAAATAAAAATAAATAAAAAGGAGTTATGAACTCTGCTAAGAGCTCAGGCATTCATCCTGTTGAAAACATTAACCTCATCTGATTTTTCTCCTTAATTTTATTTATACTTCACACACAAGGAAAGCAAGATCCCTCCTGGAAGGCCACATGGCTAGCCAGCGGTAGAACTAGAACTTGAACTTGGGACCCATAGTTCTCATTCCTATTATACTGCCTCAAATGAGGCTCTGAGCCTCACATAGAAGGAAAACTTTGTGGCACTACTTCTCATCTGTGTGGCACAGGCTGGAGGTTGTGGGTGGCTCCAGGTGCCACAGTCCTGCTGCTGGAGACATGGCTACTTACACATGAGTGACAGATTGTGGATCCTTATATGAAAAAGCTATCCATCAATCATCCTTCCATCCATCCATGCACCATTTATCCATCCATCCATCCATCTATCATCCATCCATCTAATCATTCATCATTCATCATCTATACATCATCCATCCATCCATCCATCCATCCATCCATCCATCCATGCATCCATCCATCCAAACTCAGTTTTCCTAGAAGCCAAGCCTGAGTCGAGGGTTCTTGGGCAGGCAGAGGATTTATTGAGGGGATTCTTTCAGGAGAAACCTGTAAGGGAACAAGGGAAACAGGAAAGGCCAGGGGACAGAGCAAGCAAAAAGGTGGTTCCAGAAGTCTCTCCTCAGCCTGCTGCCAGGAGGAGCTCTGGGCATGCACCGTATCACCCAGGTGGTCCCACGCAGATGGGGGTGGGCAATTATACATTCCCGGGTATAATACTCCCTATGCATTAGTTAGAGGTGGGCGATGCGGAGGGAAGGGGGGATAGGCAAGGTAGTTCCCAGCAGATGCACTCAGTCCTTAAGAGGCAGATGTGAACACGTCACAGCCAACATCTGGCTTAGCTAGGAGTAGGGGAACTGGGCCAGAAGGGGATCTGAAGCGGAACACTAACATCTGCCACAATCTCCATTTGACCCGTTAGCATGAACGGAACACTATTACATAGAGGAACAAAGGACACAAAGAGGTGAGAGACATGGCCTCCATCCTCCGGGAGCTCCAGTCTAGCTGGAAGAGATCAGAGAAGTCCAGATGATGATAAGTCAATTCAGGATACAGCTTGTTAAATTGCAGACCCAGAAAGAGCTCGGAGGAGGGAGTGGGGCTTGGGAGCAGGAGGCATCAGCCAGGGGAGACTTCTGTAGGAAGCAACCCTTGGAGCCCGAGGAGCCTGGGGAGGGCTTAGCCACCAGAGACGGCAGATGGAACGTTTCTGCCGAAAGCCCACTGAGCAGAGGCCTGGGGGCAGGGGAGGAGGGTCCTGGAGGACACGTCCAGCTTCATCCAGCCCTTCCCCCAAGAGGCATTTACGGAGCCCCTTCTTGGCCCTGCGTTGGGTACCAGGGATGCAGTGAGTCATGGGCCCCGCCCACCAGGACCTCATGCCTAGTGGGGAGAGGGACAGGGCGCCAGACAGGGTGGGTCCCAAACTCTTTCGAGAGGCCCTTCCTGGGGTGACGGAGGGCCTAGAGGTTTACGGAGTAGAGTCAGAAGGACAAAAAGATGGATGCTGCCCATTAGAGAGGCTGCTGGGCTGCAGCGTGGGCAGTGTATTAGAGGAGTGAGCCTGGGGCAGGGAGGCCTGGTGATGAGTGGCAGTGACAGGGAGAACCTGCCTCACCTCGGTCTCCAGGCCCCAGCTCCAACACCTGCCGCTTTGGCCCCAACACCTTCCCCCTGGCTCCCTAGCCTGGGCTTTTCCCGAGATCTCAATCCACCCTCCAAGGACACAGCTGCTGTTGGGAGATTTATTTCAGAAGGTCCAAGAGGCAAGGCGGGTGGTGGAGGAGAGGCCGACTCTTCAGCTCCCTGGGGGTGTGTTAAGGGAGCCAGGCTGCTCCAGGGGGGTTAGTTATTACTTGGGACAGGGGTGTCAGCAATCCCGAGGGACTTGCAAGGACCTGGGCAGGGAGCATGGGACGGCCTGGCAGGCTTCTTCTAGCACAGAGGGGTTTGGCCCTTGCAGCGGGACCTGAAAAAACGGGCGAACTGCAGCTTCTTCTGGTAGGTGCCCATCTGACGCTTCAGGCAGTAGGCCACCTCCTTGTCACAGGCGCACAGCTGCTGCTCACACCAGCTCCCTTTGTCAGCTGTGGAATGCAGGAGGGGGGCTCAGTGTCCATCCATTCCTGAGACTGAGCCAGGGCTGGGTCTAGGGTCCCTGGAGGGAGCCTCGGAAGGCAGTGCCGTCCTCACTCAGCTTTAGGGCGTGATTCCCAACTACTTGTGAAGCATAGTAACCTCCATCTTGGGTAAAAACTGCTATTTAAAAATTAACCCTGCTGTTCTGGCTTCTGTAAATGCTTGCTTGCTTAAATAATAGGGAAAAATAAGAGCACTCCCATTCCAGAGAGGCCATAGACTATGCCCCAGACAGAGTTGTCAGTGCTGGCGCCAGGCCAGGCCTTGAGAAATGGTCTCACCGCCCTGTCCCAGCACACAGGATTTTTTCTCAGAAGGTCCGGAAGTCTCATTCCAAATTTGGGAGACAAAGAGCTGAAAAACATATAAATAAGGGGGGAGACTTCCACCATATCGGGCCCCAGAATTTGAGAAGCAAGATTTTCTGCTAGCGCTAGCAAATGAACAGGACTCCAAATAAATTTGCCTTAGCTGGGAGTAAGGCCCAGGCATCTTCTGATGTACAATATAACATGTGGACTCTAGCTGCCTGACCTTGGGTATGTACCAAGACCTCCCTGAGTGCCTCTATTTATTTATGCATTCATTCAATGAACATTTGAGCACCTATCATGTGGCCAGCCTAGGGTGGGGGTGTATGGGAGTGGCGGGGGGAGGAGGCAGGACTGAACACAGCTGACCTCTGAGGTTCACATTCCCATGGGGCAGCAGGTATTTGAGAACCGCAGAAAGGAATATCAAACTGCGCCCTATGGGAGTAGAAACAACGCCAGGGCCACAGGACAGGAAAGCAGGGGGCCAGAGCCATTGGAGCTGAGGTCAGAAGGGTCTCTCTCCCTGTGGAAGCCAGCTGGAGGAGGGGGCGTGCTCCAGGCTGATGGAACAGCCTGTGCAAAGACTCTGAGGCAGGAGGGACCACGGTACTTCAGTTTCATTATCTGTAAAATGGCGATGATGAGGAGTGCTGCCTCGGGGGGCTGTGGTGAGAATGAAAGTAAGAAGGCAAAGCACTCAGCACAAGTAAGTGCTCGATAAGTGCGGGCTATCACTATTCGTGTCCTTGTTATTATTGTTAAGCCCTCAGTGAACTGGGACAGTGGTGATGTGCCCATTTGATTCCCAGCCCTGGCACCTGCCACCTGCTTCAAGCATGGACCCAGGTGCCAAGTGACCTGGGATGCAAGATGCAACCCAGGCAAACACTTCCTCACTCCATCTCCTTGTCTATAAAATGGAGCTCATCAGGGTGGGGCTGCCTCCCGGCTGGGCAGCTGTGAGGACCAGTGATGATGAAAATAGAAACAAGATCAGTAGCCCATGTCATCTATTGAGCATGCCCTGTGGCAGGCATCTGTGAAGCTCATTCTGTCTGCCTTCATTCTAGTTCCCGGATTAATGCTATGGGGAAGAATAGAATACTGTTCTCGTCCTCAGTTCACAGATGAAGATACTGAGGTTCAGAGAGGTTGAGCAAGGCATTCAAGGTTACACAGCTGGTCAGTAGTGGCTCTGGGATCTAAGCAGAGGTCTGCCAGCTTTCCAGATCCTCGGGGGCCCAAAGCCCTCATTGGACCTCTCCATACTCCCACCCTTACTCCTGCCTCCCCTCCTTGGCCCCACTATTGCCACTGGGTATGCGAGAGCAACAGAGAGGTTGAGTAGCTTGTGCATCATTGCACAGCATGTGAAAGCAGAACTCCCTTCCTCAGTCTTCAACTCCAATCCCGGTCCAGACACTCACAGCACTGGATGCCCTCCTCGGAAAAGGTGTAGTTGTAATGGTCCCTGAAGTAATGGCAATGGTGGAGCTTCAGGTGACGATAGCAACAGTCGTGAGCATGGCAGCACCTGGAGGGAGAGGACAGGAAGTGGGGCAGGGAGCACAGACGCACTGCACCGTCCTTAGCTGGCTCGGTCTCAGGTAGCCCCTGCCCCGGAGGAGAGCCATGCTTGAAGAGCCAAGGCCTCCAGGGGTCTAGTCTTCAGCATGCTCATGCTAGCTCACACTTAGAGTGCTTCCTAGGACCCAGGCACCTGCTTTTTCTACAAATTCTTTCTTAATCTTTGCAACCACCCCACAACAGGGGTATTAGGATGATCCTCATGTCACAGCTGAGGCAACTGGGACTCAGGGAAGCCACGCCACCTGTCTGAGCTCACTCAGCCTGTGAGTGGTGGGTCAGGGAAGTGACCTGGCCTGGCCCAGGCTTTCATCTCTCCTCTGGCCGATTTCCAGGATTGTGGTGAAGATAATGAGATAATGGCAAAAGGAGGCGGGACCTTTAAAAAAAAACCCATGAAATGGCTGTGTGTGTGTGTGTGTGTGTGTGTGTGTGTGTGTGTTCTAATTAGATTAGAGGTTGAGTGTGCAAGGGGGAAGGGTCTTCAGAGACTTTGGGGAACCCTCTAGAAGGCAGGCTCCAGGATTCTGAACCTTGGGGCCCTGTCGAAGCTTAGCAGAGCTCCTAGCACACTGTACAAAACGAATCCACAGATTGAATAAATAGACGGAGAGGAAAGAGGAGAGTCCCGGGATGCGGGCAGGACGGGATTGCTGCCCATGGGCCTGCCTGGGAAGGGTTACCAGTCCGTGGCATCCAGGGGTCGGCCTTTTCCACCAGGTCCGCAGTGACAGCCGTAGGGCCAATAGGAGGTGACGGCTGTCTTCCTGGTCACTTGTCCAACCATCTTGTTCAGGTTCAGAATCCCGCCCTGGGCTGGAGTCACACCTGCCAAGGAGCCCAGCAACGTGAACCCCAGGAGAGGCCCCTGCACCCCGGGCTGACACCTCTGCTCTATCTGGTCCAGACCAATGGCCTTGGATGACAAAACGACAGCAACCACTATGTCTATTAAAAAATATAGTGACAGTGAGTGCTTGCCATTGGCCTTTTCATGTGGCAATTTATTGACTCCATCTACCCGATGAGAAAAAGACTATTTTTTTTTTTAATAAGTCAACTTAGATGTAGAGAAAAGTTGCAAAGATCATAGAGAAAATTCTCAGAGCCCTCACCCACTTTCCTCTAGTGCGGTATCTTCAGCTAGGGCTGATCTCTTTCTTTCTTTCTTTCTTTCTTTCTTTCTTTCTTTCTTTCTTTCTTTCTTTCTTTCTTTCTTTCTTTTAATATATTTTATTGATTTTGTACAGAGAGGAAGGGAGAGAGATAGAGAGTTAGAAACATCGATGAGAGAGAGTCATCGATCAGCTGCCTCTTGCACACCCCCTACTGGGGATATGCCCGCAACCAAGGTACATGCCCTTGACCGGAATCGAACCTGGGACCCTTCAGTCCCCAAGCCGACGCTCTATCTATTGAGCCAAACCGGTCCCGGCATCTAGTGCGGTATCTTCTTACATAATTGTGGTGTACTTATGAAAACTGAGAAACCGACAATGAATACTATTTTTAATCCCCAGTTTAGAGAGGAGCAGACTGAGGCTCAGTCACTTGTTCCAGTCATAGTAGCTGGTAAATGGAAGGACCTGAATAGAAACCCAAGAATCCTTTCTAAAATCACATATTTTGAGGTGCCAATTTGCTAGCAGCCACATTTTTTTTACATTTGATCTTCTGCTAAAGATCAAATAGAAATCGCCCCACCTCCCACCAACAGTCAACACAAGCCACTTCCCAGGTTCCAGGGAGATCAGGGCATGGATGCGGAGTGCTGTTTCTATGCAAATGAGTGTTATCAATTGGTTAAAAGGACAGAAGGGAACAAGGTGAGGTGAGGAGATCATTTCTGTAATTTTGTCCAAAGTACCACAGGTGCCAGCTCGGCAGGCCCCTGGATTCTGAACCTTCGGTTCTGACCTTCACGGCAGGCCAGAAGCGCGCCACAGCTTGGCCACCCAGGCCTCTCTGGCCACAGCCACTGTTCTAAGGGACTGGGAGCCGCTGATGGCTTCTTGCAAGGGGCTTGAGGGCGGTGGGGATTAGAGCAGCAGCTCAGTCTAGAAAAAGATATGGGTCTACCCCCCTCCCTCCTTCCCTTCCCAGCTGTGGCTCCTGTCCCCACTCACCAGCAAACACCACCAGGACGCACAGCAGGGGGAGTTCCATGATCCCGGCCCAGAGGAGGGGAAGCAGCTGCAGGAAGTCCTTCTTGCAAGCAGCCCCTTATATAAGACGCACTCCCTCCCCCACCAGCTGAGCCTGCCCCTGCCCCTGCCCCTGCCGCTCTAGCTCTCATGGAGGCCACCTCTGCTCCTTCTGTTTCCTCTTTTCTGGCAAGGGGGAATTAATTTTAATTTTAATTTTTAACACCCATATTTTAAACTTTCTGATTGCAAAAGAAGCACATGTTTCGTGTAGAAGATTTGGAAAACATAAACAATAAGAAGAAATTAAAAATCACCTGCAGATTCATTAAGCAGCATTACGGGTTCGGTGTATGTCCTTCTGGTTCCATTGCTCTCGCTCTCTCTCTCTCTCTCTCTCTCTCTCTCTCTCTCTATATATATATATATATATATATATATATATATATATATATATCTCCACACTTTTCCTGACCAAACAAGAAAGTTGTTATTTGTAGCCTTTCTTTTCACCTACCAATGGAACGTGAACACAGTTCTATGCCATTAAATATTATTCGGCAGAAACATTTGAAAGGCAGCCTCATATTCCATAAGACAGCGAAGGCACTCATTGAATGAATCCCGTATTGATGGCCATATAGGTTACTGCTCTAGAGCGTACAGTGGTACAGTGAAAGAAACCACGGAGGCGAAAGCTCAGTTCATGTCCGGAACTGTGGCTGTGGGATCTATCCCTAAAGTGCACTTGCCGAGTCAAAGCACACGCACAATTCGTAGGCCATTGACATGCGTCGACAGCTTGCAGACGGCCCACCCAGTTCACATATGGGGATCCTAACAAACCCATGGTGTGGATCCAGCCTCACTAGGGTGGGGGGTGCTGATGGCAGGACACACGGAGGCACCACAAAGAGATGGTCTGCCACAAAGGCTCCACAGATAGCCTTGCAAGGTTTAATGGAGAGCCCATGGGTAGCAGAAATTGTTTTTTTCTATGCCCACCAGATGGCTGTTCAAGGGCATAGAGCCCAAGCTGACCTTTTGGCTGCCAGCTAACCAGTTCACCCCAGAAAGTGCACCAAGAGTCACTGCTGGGCGCTGTTCCCTCTCTCAGCTCTCTTCTACATCTGGTTTTTCCTTTGTTCCTTGCCTCCCTCACCTAAAGTGTGAGAAAAGAATTTGAAACAGAAGGCAAAATAAGTGTCTCTGACATATTCTTTGACATGTCTCCCCTGTGTGTGCTCAGTAGTCATTCCTTCTACTCTTGCCAATGGGTCCTTACCCTACGAGCAGTTTTCTAGATCTGGGCTCTTGACAGGCATGTGGCTACTTTCCAGAGCTTCTCCTCAGCTGGTATCCTTTGGATAGGAGCAAAAGTAGGCAGGAACAGAAGGCTTTGTTGATTCCAGAAAGCTTTTCCCTAGTGGGAGAGTCGCCTAGATATGGATGCTATAAAGGGGCCTTGAAAACATTTCCCCCAGACTCCTCCATAGGCCCCAAGGCACATCTGGATGGCTGGGTTTGGGATCAGAGGGACCTGACTCAAACTCTGGCTCCTTCTCTTACTATCTGCGGGACCCTGGGCAAACCACTTTACTTCCATGAGCGTTGGTTTCCACATTTGCAGGACCGGGACCATATGGGGACAGCAGTCCCTCTTTCCTCTGATTGTTGTGGGGTTCAGGAAGCATTCAGCACACTGCACCAAGCCTCACCCATGGGGAGAATGCCGTACAGCAACCACACAGGGGTTACACGACGTTTTGTGGAGATGAAGAGGATGAAGGGGTGGGAGCCAAAGCCAGACTGCCTGGATTCCAGCTGCTTTGCCTGGAGCAAGGAGCTCAGCAATGAGTCTTTTGTTCCTTCCATGTACAATAGGGGTGATGATAGTACCTACTTCATAGCCTTCTTGTGGGGATTAAACAAGATAATATGTGAACAGGGCTTGGTCCATAGCTAGAACTTAATAAATGTTAGCTATGGTTACTCCTTTCATCACCATCTTCATCAGCCACATCATCCCTGCTTATAATAGAACTAGGGGCCCGGTGCACAAAATTTGTGCATGGGTAGGGTCCCTAGGCCTGGCTGGCAATCAGGGCTGATTGGGGCTATCCAGCTGCCAACTGGGGTCTTCCTTTTTTCTGTACCACCCCTGGTGGTCAGCACACATCACAGCGAGCGATTGAACTCCCGGTCTCCCGGTCTCCGGGTCAAACTCCTGAGGGGACTCTTTGCATATTAGCCTTTTATATAGAGAGATAATATTTTCCTCTGCATTGTCTAATCTGCTGTTAATCCTATTTACTCTATCTTTCATCTCAGACAGTGTATTTTTCTCTAGAAATTTAATATGGTTCTTCTTATATCTTTGGTATTTCTACTTAATATGCACAAGCTCTCCTCTATCTTTTTATGCATAGGAGAATATAGTTAAAATAACTGTCTTAATGTTGGTATCTACTAACGCCATCATTGGGGTCATTTCTGGGTCTGTTTCTATTGATTGATTTTTCCCCTCATTATGACTTAAGATCACCACTGCTCATAATTGTAGATCACACTATGATAATAAAACTTGGTCTATTTTTAAAGGGTGGTTTCTATATATTGATTTCAGATAGGAGAGGAGAAGGGGAGATAGGAACATCAATAATGAGAGTCATGATTGGTTGCCTCCTGCATGCCTCCCTACTGGGGATGGAACCTGAAACCTGGGAATGTGCACTGACCGGGAATTGAACCATGACCTCCTGGTTCATAGGTCAATGCTCAGCTACATAGCCACACCAGCTGGGCAAGGGTGGTTTCTTTCCAGTAGATTTCCAGAAGTGAAATTGCTTGGTCAGATGATAGAAATGTTTTTAAGCCTCTTCCTTTCTCTGAAATCTGTAGAAATTCAGAACCACAGCATCTGCCTCCATGGGCAGCAAGTGTGTATTCATCGAGCCTGGTGGTTTCTTGAGACTTGTCAGCAAATCTGTGGGTTTTCACATCCATAGGAACAGCAGGAAAAACACTTGATAATGCACCAAGACCTCCAGGTGGTGGGTGCAAAACAACAGGAGGGGCTTAGGTGCTGGAGTGCTTATTCGATGAAGAAGGGTTACCATTTGTGGAGCCTCTACTGGGCATCAGGCACCGGCTTGTTATGTGATTTTTTCATCCACACCACGACGGAGATACTGTTGCATCCTTTTTACAGGTGAGAGATGAGCTCAGAAACGTACACAAGGTCACAAACAGGTACGAGGCCGAGTTTGGATTACAACATAGGTCTGCCAGGAGCTGCCCTTACCAGGCCCTGTTCTAAGTGGTCCCACATAGTAAATGCACGTGGTGTCTGCCCTAACCCCCCTTTCACAGATGAGCCATTGTACCCAGGGCTTTGCTGTGACTTTCCTGCCCTCCTGGTATAGATGGAGGTGGGCCTGAGAAGAGCTGGCAGAGCCTGCAAGTCTATTGTCCCCAACCTCACTGCTGAAAAGAAAGAGGACCCTCATCTCACAAGGGATACCCCCTGGGTGACCCCATGTCCTCTCAGCCAGGAGCCAGGACCTCCCCTCGACTCATTTCTCCCTGCCAAGCGCCATGTACCAGGATGGTCACGTGCCTGGACTCTATCTGAGATGAATTGCCAGACGATGTTAGAGACGAAGCTCGGACTTACTGGAGGTTTGCAGGACACAAGGAAGTGAAAGCTGGGCTTCCCCGGGGGCTTCCAGCAGGAAGAGAGAAGGGAGGGAGAGAGCCGAGCTGCCTCTGGGGGAGAGGGACCCACTTTCCTGCAGCTGCACCAGGCAGAACCAAAACAAGCGGTGTAAACACCCAGAGTGCCTAGCCCCCAAGTGCCTGCCTACAGCAGAACGGATCTGTTGAGGCAGAGCTGCTTGGGGATAACAAGACCAGGGGCCGAAACTATACACAGCAACATGGAAAAACCTCACACACCTCATGCTGGCCCATAGGCCGACGCCAAAGAGTACAGACTCTGTGCATATGACCTTCCAACACAGCCAAACTGAATTGTGCTTTTCTGAGTCAGCACAGGGTTCCCAGCTGAGGGGTGGGGACTAGACAGGTGACAGGAGGGCTTTGGGTGCAGCTGTTGCTGCTCTTTCTTTCTTTCTTTCTTTCTTTCTTTCTTTCTTTCTTTCTTTCTTTCTTTCTTGCTTTTTCTTTCTTTCTTTCTTTTAATATATTTTATTGATAAGAAATTACAGAGAGGAAGGGAGAGGGGTAAAGAGCTAGAAACATCGATGATGAGAGAAACATTGACCAGCTGCCTCCTGCACACCCCACACCAGGGATGTGTCCGCAACCAAGGCACATGCCCTTGACCGGAATCAAATCTGGGACCTTTCAGTCCGCAGACTATCCACTGAGCCAAACCGGATTCGGCTGCTGCTGCTCTTTCTTTGGCTCTCTGTGCGTTACACTGGTGTGTTCAAGTTGGGAAAATTCATCCAGCTGTTTTCATGTGTGCATTCTCCTAGATATATCATACTTATACAAAATTGAGGAGCAAATGGGCAATTGGGGTTACTTCAGATAGCCTTCTAGATGATGACATCAGGCTGTGTGGTACAAAGAAAACCCAGCTTTGATATCAGTCAGATCTGGGTTTGAATTTCAGCTTCCTCATGGCATCACCGTGATTACAACACATCGGCTCCCTGAGCCTTAATTTTCCCGTCCAAAATATGGGCCCAGGGATGTGTCCCCCGAAGGCGTGTTGTCATAATCACTGGTAGAATGATAGGTGTACAGTAGGTGGTCAGGTGACACCTACTGTATACCTATCATTGACACCTGGTGACCCCCTCCTCCCAGGAGGAAAGAGTCTAAGGTTGGACTTAAGCACACTGACCTCTCCCCACACCTCGGGCCCAGCCACTGGTTTCTAATTGAGACAGAGCTGGTCACCCACAGCGGGGATTTCCACTTCAACTTCTTAGTGCACTCAGAGTGACCCAAGCTCAGGCCAGCGGCCATAGAATCTTCTTTCAAAATCGC